CTCACAGAAAAGCAAACTTAGGGCGTCGTACTCGTAGCGCCATCTGTTGGACATAAAAGCCTTAACCATAGATGATATCATTTAATTTATATGAATGTTTAACGGAATAATATACAGCCTATGTCCACCCTGAAGTTCCATTCTAAATATTGGTGAAAGAATTTTTGAAATCGGATGAGTAGTTTCGGAGATTACCTGCTGCATACAAACTTACTTACATACATACAAACATTACCTCTTTATAATATTAGTATAGATTACAGTGCTGTATTAGACTTACGGTACCTAATTTACATACTGTACAGACGATAGTAAATTCAACTTACCCGCCTAAACTCTCCGTAGCGTGGCCCTAGACGGCGGAAAGTATATATATAATTATAATAAAGTTACAATAAATTAAGTTAATATATAATTATATGTACAGTACAGTACCTAATTTATATATAATACTGTACAGACGATAGTAAACTCAATTTACCCGCCTAAACTCTCCGTAGCGTGGCGCTGGACGGCGGAAAGTAGTTCGGCTGCTCGTCCACTATTAGTCCAGATTCGACCAATCCTGACGCGACACGAGTCGGCGACGACGCTTTACAAGTCCCTTTTAGCATGCTTATACGAATACTGTCACAATTTTTTTGCTACGTTATAGGAATCTCCGTTATAGGAACCCACGTTATAGGGGGGTCGACTGTATAGACACTGACACACTTATTTAATTTTAGTTTTTGGTTGCTATGTCTTGACTCTGGTCCGGCATAGTACACAGCCACCGGTGTGTATTCAGTATAACCCACTAAACCCAACATAATATTAATAAGTGCACAGCCCAAACGGATAGGAGTTGAAAGTTGAAATTTGGTACACAGTTGGGGTACGTCACGAGAATGCACACTAAGAAGGGATTTTTTCGAAATTCCTCCCCACGGAGGAGAAAAACAGGATTAAGGCTTAACACTTCCATCAACAATGGAAGTGTCAAGTAACAATGGAAGTGTCAACAATGGAAGTGTTACATAACAATGGAATTGTTAAGAGAAAGCGACATGCAGACGCAGATGCAGATTTTTCGTTTTAGCGTGAAATCGAACATATTTTTAGACCCATCTACAAATTTTCTAATTAGTCTGGAAACAGGGAAATCTAATTCTTGAATTCTGTGAAAACGGGTAAGATTAGTTGTAATGTAATAATCTTAATCTTCGCTATCGTTACTTTTTGCCCGAGCAACGCCGGGCTTATCTGCTAGTTTTTTAATAAAACTAGCAGGTAAGCCCAGCGTTGCCTGGGCAAAAAGTAAGAACAAACATTAAGATTATTCGATTATTTTGTACTTCTAACCCTTATATTATAGTATTTGATTTATATAGCTACAAAGGTTATCTTACGTAAGGGTTTATCATACCGACCAATCTAACTTATTTAAAAACCATATAGAGTTTGGATTTTTAGCGTAACACTGTCACGTTTATCTCGATACTCGAACGGTATGAAATGGCACAATTTCATTGTTAAAGAAGACACCAATTGAAAATGCGGCATCGAATTTTTTCGGATAAAAGTTTTTTCTCTACCTCTAAGAAACTGTTTTATTCACAGCCGAATATCAAATGGTCTTCTGAGAACGAATGAAATTTCGCAAAAAAGAAGGGCCAAATATTTAAACTCGGCACTCTGGAAAACCACTTAAATCATATTTTGTGCAGGCCGGTAACCTCGTATTATATAATTTTCCTATTCGAATGCCACCATACCGATGGTCCGATAGAAATTCGGGACCGTTGCGAAAGAGGGTCGAAGTAATTCGATCAAAAGTAGTAGTTAACCTCCACCCGTAAGAGAGGATGGTCAAGCACTATTAATTAATTAATAAGCTACTGATCTACTATTAATATTTGAAAAATGATTCGTGTTAAACAGGTTGTGATGGCTCCACAGGTGATCGAGTTGCTAACCTTAATATCCGAAAGACTTCATATGAGACTTGTTTAAATAAATAAATTTTGTAAAACTCTGAGAATAATTGCTTTTATGCTTTTACCTACGCAAAAAAAACCTTATCTCACTGAGAATTATTTATTAATCAAAAAGTAATTTGCTACTAGATGTAGATGTTTGGCTCCATCTCTTAACTAAATTAATAATTATAATTTTAATAATTTAGAAATCATAATTTCTAATTTATAATTTAATAAATTATTTAACCGTAACGAACATTTTTAACATTTAACCAACGTTTTTTTTTAATCTATTTTAATATTTTGTTATTTTAAATTGTATATAGGCTATAATACTATAATTTATTCTTTGAACTTAAATTTTAACATATTATTAACATTATAATTGTTTTAACATGTGTTTTAACATATATATTTTAAAATTATATTTGTTTTTATAAGAATTATACTGTATTTAGTTTATTATTTAAGTTTTCTGCCAATAGGCTACGTGTAAATCAGCAAATTTAATAAAGATAGAAATTAATTAATTTACAGAAATCCAATAGATATTTTGGGTGAGATGTACAGTACAGTACGACATTAGTTAAGTGTACATAAACGTAACTGCTGAATTTCGTAGCAATTGGTCGAATGGTCTATGGGTGTATAGCGAACAAACAAACATTTCATTTTTCTATAGAAGATTATTAGTAAGCAACAAACATTAATTATTCTTTTAAAATACGTACTTTGTACTAAATTACATTATTCTCAATTATAAAATATTAATTTAAATGACTGAAAGTTTCAATTTCAATTATTTTATTTTGAAATTTAAAGTGTTTTTTGTTCACAAACAACATATTATATGAGATTAATTCTGTTTAATAAATTTGTTTTTCTAATGTTTCTGTTATTGTGTTTAATAAGTTACATTATGATGTTATATAACCTGTCAGAAACAAACTTTACCACAAACATAGTCTACAGATTTGTACTGATTCGAGAACCATGCTTTAAATGTTGTAATTGGAAACACTATTAAACCATTGAAAAACTCATACTTCTTTGGTCAAAACTTACAGAATACAGTACAAAGATACTTCATTGTATTTCTAAATCGAATAAAGTGAATGATACGCATATTAGCCATTGCAGTACAAGGATATATTTTACTTAGTAATTCAAAATCTGAAACTTCTTTAGTGAAGATTAACAGGTTACAATACAAAGGTATATTCTGTTTACCGGATGCAATTTTCAGCTTGCAAATTGACTGAGAACTCAACTTCGCACAGAACTTCGCTGAAGGCTAACATTATTGACTTCTGTCACTTGTAGGCTTCCATTTTTACAAGAGAGAAATTTCTGTTTTAAGATCAAAAGTTATCACATGTTCAATAAATTTTTATCTAATTTTATGTAAATATAAAACTTAACAAAGTCATTATACTATTACTTTATTGCTTATCATAACTTTATTTTGTTTTTTTACAGACCAGTAAAAAACAAAGAGAAGCTATAATAAATATATATTAAAGCTATTATAAATAAATTCTAATTTGAGGTAAAATAAGGGTGAGTAAGGGTAAAACAAGCAGGCTTGCATGTCGTACGTGGTTTGTTAACACCATAGAATTAAAAGACCTTGGTCCGAATTAGCGAGTTGTTTTCTCCGACCACGTAGAAAACGAGAAGATGGAGGATGTAAATAAGCTACAGTAATTTATTGCCATCAGTTCTACACAGAAGTTCGCCGAAGCTTTATTTGGTAGGTTACATTGTCGCATTTATTATTACCGTAATTACAAATAAATTCAATTTTAATTTAAATTTAGAATATTTCGAAAGAGAAGACCAGCCCGGAGCTGGACACGTACTGATAACTCCCGCTTACGGTGCGGTGTGGTTATATCTATTACTGTATTTGTTTACTGGCGCATCCAGCTACAATGCAGTTACTACAGTATTCTATATAATTTTTTCCAGTTCTTCCAAAATACGTGTCGAATGGAAGTGTCAAGTAACAATGGAAGTGTCAACAATGGAAGTGTTACATAACAATGGAATTGTTAAGAGAAAGCGACGTGAGATAAGCAGATGCAGATTTTTCGTTTTAGCGTGAAATCGAACATATTTTTAGACCCATCTACAAATTTTCTAATTAGTCTGGAAACAGGGAAATCTAATTCTTGAATTCTGTGAAAACGGGTAAGATTAGTTGTAATGTAATAATCTTAATCTTCGCTATCGTTANGACGACAACAACTCGGTGGCTTTCTAAAATGACCATGCGTGCCAATAGGTAAGTACTTGGAATGGTGACAAAACCGTTTTTACATGGCGACGACGGAAATATTTCTTTCGAAACAACGTTATTTCTTTATAAATTAGATTGTATTGGCAAAATTTTTCGTAAATATTTATATAAAATTATCATTTTTTAAATAATTCTTTCGCTACCGGGTACTTTTTCCAAGTGAAAATACTTTGTAACTGCGTCTGTAAAACATATTTAACAATTTAAAAATTTTTATCTATTAATTACCGTTTCAGTAAATAAAAGCAGAATTTCTATTAATTATAAGCTCGTTTACCAAATTTACTTTGCATTACTTAATATTATCTATTCGTTATCTACATGAGTTATTATAAGTGCAAGTGATTATAAAGTAGTATGTATTGTATTTCATTATGTAACACAGTTCCGAGTATCCGTTTTCTATGCTGTCACGCGATTATAAGATGGGCAGTGTTAATTGGAAATCTGTTTGGGATTTCAAAAGTTTCATTTTTAATTACGTAGGCTAAATGACAATAAGATGCATCCCTATCTAATCCACATAGAAATGGGAGACGATCGAATTAATCTTCTCCAATTCGAGCAAGATTAACTGAATATATTCCAGTGAAATTTAGAGGATGCATTCTCCAGAAAATATTAAAACAAAATCAATTCCAAATTCGACCACAATGAAAAAATAGGGCTCGATTTAATGTGAGAATTAGATAAGGAGCTCTTTCAAGAATGAATTCTATCAATATTAAGAAAAGATATTTTAAGAGATACATCTGCAGAGAAAACTGCAGATATTTTTCAAAATTAATTTAAAAAGAGTAGTAGTATTTATCTCCAACTTTTATAAATTTTAAATTCAAATCAAAGAGATTGAAAATTTCCATAATATATCAATTATACGGTGGTATAGAACCATACACGGCTAACCATGAAACCATAGTCTTAAGAAAAGGATATTTAAAAATCGGGCCAACCAAAATATTTTCTAGTAATCGTTTGGTACTTTATATATCTGCTTACGGTCACATATATAATAGGAATAATCTATTATCAAAAATATGCAAAATTTAGAGTTATCTGCTTTTGGTTCTATATCCATCACATAAGACTTCAACTTGTTTTGTTGCTTTTGTTTTTTTTTTGGTTTTTGTTTTTGAACATTTCCAGAATGCACTTTATACGACATACGGAATAACACAAAAGTCAGTTAATTGTAACTCGATTTGTTGCGTTTCAAGTATACTTATGAAGAGGTTAGCGATTCAAACTGTTTTTCTCCTACAAAATTGACGAAAACTAAAAAATACAATCGAACTAATTTAAATTTTTAATTAATTACCGACCATTTAGACTTCGACGATCAACTTGTATATAAGACAATCATTTCAAAGTTAATATCGATTAAGTATAGTACTACTACTGTAGTTGTGTTAGTTAATTGTATTCTTTTTATTTCCACACACTGGAATATACAATGAGTAATGTGTGGAATATACAATGAGACTATAATAAATTATTATAATGATGTTTAATAAGAATTTGAATATAAATGAAAAATTCAATACATCGTAATATACTTTAAATTATTAAATTATTCGGCTAAATTCTTTTGATTGCATTTTAAAACTTGAACTAATTAATCTTATGTATAAAATTCTCTTATAAATAAACTCACCTTTTCTTAAAAACTGCTAAAATACTTTTTATCTTAAATTCGAACCACATAAACGCTAATAATGCCTGGTAAATGTAGACACATATTCAAATGTATTAATTTGCACAGAAATGTAATCAAACGAATTAACAATTTATACATAATTTACAAACCTGCCCACTGCTGCTAAAATCGGCTAAAAATTTTACGATAACAAAGACACCGTCTTTATTTTTATTCGTAATTTTAAATAATTGTAGAAATAATCTCTGTAAAACATTTATTTTTTCTATTAGAATATTTTATATTTGATAAAATATATAAATGTTTATACTTACGAGTGTCATTGACGTAGCCAGAATTATTAAAAACCTGAACAATTTATCGGTTTGAGAATTGTCTAGCACAGTGTCGCTTACTTCTTCGGGACAAACGTTTCTGTTTTCAAAGATTAAAGATGAAAACATAAAATAATAATTGTGATTTGCTTGAAATATTTTACCTTTGCGACGAACGATTTAAATGATTTGTCGAACTAAATTCATTTGCAGCAATTATATATAAAGTGGAAACATTCTCGGAAACCTCTTCGTTTACTAAAAGTAAATATTCGACTTTTATTTTAATCCAGTAATGTAAAATTAATATCTAACTACAATAATTGATCAAGTACATATAATTATTTTATATTTTTCTGTTTGAAAGAGAAGCAAATTAATTGTATACAATTTGTATTTTCAAATAAGAAACGTATACACATTAGTAACAGTCTGCTTAACACACAATTGATTTCAAAATATTCACTAAAAAATACTGATTTACAATATTAAAGATATTCGAAAAAAAATGCGTGCGTATTTCGATATAAAATTCGATTTGATCTGAATATTTCCAGTTTTGAAAATAAGTGTGTTTCCGCGAATATTCCAATAATTGAATACAGTAGAGAGTCGATTATCCGAATCAATTGGGGACTGGGGTTGTTCGGAAGGCCGATGTTTCGGATAACCGGTTATGTACGAAAAATATATTAATTTATCCATCTTGACATTTTTCTCCGTTGCGTGTTGCTTCGCCTTAAATTTTCGTCGATGTTAAGCCTAACGAAGACTATTGTATCGTTAAAAATTATTATTTTATTTTGTACGAACAAAATAAATATATTGAAAAATATAAAAACAATAAAAAATTATACTTCAGAAGTTAATTTAGTATCTAAAACGTAAAATATTTGAGTAGCCCAAGACATNTCGGTTTGAGAATTGTCTAGCACAGTGTCGCTTACTTCTTCGGGACAAACGTTTCTGTTTTCAAAGATTAAAGATGAAAACATAAAATAATAATTGTGATTTGCTTGAAATATTTTACCTTTGCGACGAACGATTTAGATGATTTGTCGAACTAAATTCATTTGCAGCAATTATATATAAAGTGGAAACATTCTCGGAAACCTCTTCGTTTACTAAAAGTAAATATTCGACTTTTATTTTAATCCAGTAATGTAAAATTAATATCTAACTACAATAATTGATCAAGTACATATAATTATTTTATATTTTTCTGTTTGAAAGAGAAGCAAATTAATTGTATACAATTTGTATTTTCAAATAAGAAACGTATACACATTAGTAACAGTCTGCTTAACACACAATTGATTTCAAAATATTCACTAAAAAATACTGATTTACAATATTAAAGATATTCGAAAAAAAATGCGTGCGTATTTCGATATAAAATTCGATTTGATCTGAATATTTCCAGTTTTGAAAATAAGTGTGTTTCCGCGAATATTCCAATAATTGAATACAGTAGAGAGTCGATTATCCGAATCAATTGGGGACTGGGGTTGTTCGGAAGGCCGATGTTTCGGATAACCGGTTATGTACGAAAAATATATTAATTTATCCATCTTGACATTTTTCTCCGTTGCGTGTTGCTTCGCCTTAAATTTTCGTCGATGTTAAGCCTAACGAAGACTATTGTATCGTTAAAAATTATTATTTTATTTTGTACGAACAAAATAAATATATTGAAAAATATAAAAACAATAAAAAATTATACTTCAGAAGTTAATTTAGTATCTAAAACGTAAAATATTTGAGTAGCCCGAGACATAGCCATAGATTGCAGCGCCACAGCACAGGCGAAAATTTAAATTTGCCGACTGGAATTCTTTCGGATGATTGACTTTCGGATAATCGACACTCTACTGTATTAATATATCGATGTTCCGAGATGCTGTGTGCAGAAGAAATCGTATTACGTTGCGTCGAATTTTTCCCAGCTATAATGTCGTAATCAGTATGTACATAAAATATCACTGTTATGAATTTATGGATCTTTAGAGTCAATGTTATAGCAGCTAGATATACACAGTCTGTCTGTTTGTAAGCAATATCCTTACATAAACAATTAATCACAAATTATATGTGTAGGCCTACTTATTATAACTTGGGTATTGTCGCTTGTAAAAATACAATTAATTCTACCGTGATGTAAATATCCCTCTTTGATAGATCCATTAATAATACGCCCACCGGCCGAGTGGATAAAATCACCAAGTAGTTGGTCGTGGGTTCGCACCTCACCGAAGGATTGGTCAAGTGGAGTTTTCCGTGTTTTCTTCACCACCTATTAATAGAGAGGTTACGGCCGACGTTTTCATCACGAAAACGTGAACGTCGGACGTTCAGGGCCGCCATCCTGTAAGCCTAGAAGTTTGACAATGGAATTTGGAATGTCAGTGGAATCATGCTCGACGTTTCAAACGCCATTGTCAAACTTCTAGGCTTACAGGATGGCGACGCTCAACGTCCAACGTTCACGTTTTCGCGATGAAAACGTCGGCCGCAACCTCCTAATTAAATACGAGCCGGTTTCCCATTTCCTTCGCCGTATCCAGTCCTTCAGGGAGACATTCCCACCTTGACATACGACAACGCACACGTGGATAATATCTCACCACTCTATTAATAATATAACCTACTCGTAATATTAATACAACTTACTTGTATTTTTATGTCTGATGTATAAAGACAAAAATACTATAATTATCAGCAAGGCACACAATACGTTAACCAAAGTGGCACCGATCTATAAAAAAAATTCGATATATCAAATGTTTTATTGTTCATTTTAAGAAATAAATTTAATTTTTGACGTCACACTTACGGCCATTTTGTTATCCATAAAATTCTTCGGAATTTTATTTCGATATTTATATACATTAAAAAATAAAATTGAAGCGGCCAACGATGTGGGAATTCTAGAAATAATTTTAATTAAAAATTTGTATTTTAAAATACGACAATTTCATTAGTCGCAAATCCTTGATACAATTGTTAGAATTGTCTTTAAAAAATCTTAATTTAAATTAATAATACATTTCCTAATTTTTGTCAATGATTGATAACTTAATTAATGTTATAATTAAGTACTCTGCATTTTCAAAAATTTTACAATTTCATTGGTTAAAATTCTATACCGTGCGAGCAGATAACCCGAGCATGTAGTCAACCTAATAGAATCGTGACGTCGCCAACAAAGACGAGATCGTTACTAACGACTGGAATCGCCTCTGTCTCTCAGAGACGAATTTCGTCTTTCGTCTCTGAAAGAAAAAACGAGTGATAAGTGACCAGAATACTACCCTTGGTCTTTCAAAAAATTGTCAGTGTTTGATAACGCAGAACACTAAGGGCGCGTTTGAAAATTCTAACCGGTAACACCGCGGTAGTGGTGACTGACGTCATCGGTCATGTAAATATCTGCCCTAACACACGTTGAACAGAGCAAGGGATGTGGGATAATGCACCATTTTTCATGAATATGATGTCTTGAAGATTCTATTGAAGCTCTGGGATGAAAAAGACGTTAGCAGGTTAAGATACCGTTTACCAAAAAGAGAACAGGTTCGGATCCCAGTTGTACAACTTTAACGCCACCTGTAAGTGGCATTTTGTACGAGAAATTTTTTTTAAATAAATGACGAGCGCATCATTTGAAGAACCTGTTGTCCAAATATTGTTTGATTTCAAGCAGTAGAACACTCTCCAGAGCCCTCTGACAAGTGAGTTGGGAAGTTTAATTTTTCGACAATCCTATACTGTACAGTACATATACAATAAATAAATAAATAATTATAAATCACTTTGTAACATATTTAAAGTTTTTAAATTTGTCACACACCGATTGTTACGTTATAGTTCAGAAGTTTCTTATTAAATATTGAAATGTCACGTGCATATTCTGACTTGGGCCCACGGACATTTAAACGAGATACAAGATGGACAGGACGACATACGTATATAAATCATTATCATCATTCTTATAATTTAATTAATCGAAAATTATTATTATTATACAGCGCTTTTAAAATTAATTCTAACCTATAAATGAAAAACGTTAAAACTAAAAGGAATTTTTGTATCATACCCTAATCCAACCAATATAAAATAGCGGCGTTTGTTAACCTTCAGATAAATCTGAGCCGCTAAATTTGCTGTCCAAAAGTTACACATGACTTGTCCAAATAAACTAATGATTTTTTGGACATCGGGGATTATAAACGTGTGCCCAACTAACATGTTACCCGTCGATAGAACCATCTAAAAATTCAAATTCAAGAATTATTCAATATTTAACATATTTCTTCCTAAAGAACATTTCAAAGTCTTACCTGACTTACTACGAACCAGATAAAGATGTCGTTGCTCTTGTTTTTCCTTCTGAAGTTAACCATACAAGTTAGAAACTATAAAGTGCAAGTCTCAATGTTGTTATAATGCCATACAAATTTTTCAATTTTTTAACACGTCACTAATTCCTTACATCCTTACCCCGAATGTCAAATTGACGACGTTATAATAAAAATATATGTCGTTTAAACATCTTTCAAAGCCAATTAAATCATTAACGGTAGATAGAGCTGTTACGTATGTGAAAGGAAAGAATGACAATGCCGATAACATTAGGATTATTTGAATCTGAAAAAAAATAAATAAATTGTAATGTTTTTAATTGCTACGAAACTAGTTAGTTTTTCAGTGGTTTGCATAAATATTTTATAAATTGGTAATAATTTACCGGATATAAAGAAATTCCAAAATCGTTTGCGAAGACGAGAACCCCGTTATAAGGAATCATAACTCCATAAACAAAGGAGAAATCTGCATCTTTATTTTCAAGAAATGACGAATTTGAGGTGATTAATCTAAGAATTATTGGAGTGGCTAGCCTGAAGAAGAAAAGTAAAGACGTTCTGTACAGACATTAAACAATATAATAATTATTATATGAAATTATGACTTTTTGAATATTATAAAAATAATTTAAAATACACTGTACATTGACGCAGGTATTCATATTTTCCAACCAACCATAGTTAAAAAAGCCCGTTTAATTAACCAATGACCGTCGAGTTTTGCTTCAATATCTTCGTTATTTCGCATTTATTTTTACGTGATATTTTTCACGGTATGGTTCCTGTCATCCTCTTAAGTACTATATTTTTTCAATTTCTTAAGTATTATTTATTTAATACATATTTTTACTATATTGAAATTTATTATTTAAAAACTATTTTAACAAAAAAATTTACATTTTAAGAAAGAAACAAATTATAACCGTAGAATGATATTTAGTCTGGAAAATTAATTGGAATTTTCCCACCATAGACATTCCTAACACAAACAGGACGTTTGCAGGAAGTGCGGTAGCAATTACCTGAAAATAAATTTTAAAAAACGATAAATACAGTATAATATTCAAATTATTCACTAGGACGGAGTAAAATAATAGTTGAGCTAACATTCAAGACATAAACGAACAGGTACGGTAGAGGTTTTGGTATCCACGCACTGGTTATCAATCCTAAAACCAAAGCCAACACAAGTGGATTTCCCATGCTTATCCAAATCGATTTCGTGCAAACGAGCCAGAAATGTTTTCTGTCACAGTTATCAATACGACTTGTTTTCGCCATGGTCAAGGCAATGGGTTGAAATAACAATATAGATATCGGTTGAATTAGGAATAAATGCACCGGAAGATCCGGATATAACGTACTGTACAAGGCTTGCACTAGAAAAAAAAAATACATAACTGATATTTAAGAGGAATTTTGAATATGCCAATTAATTTATTAAAATAACTTATTTCTAGTTTTTACGTAAGTCAAGTACAATGAGATTTAAATGGAAAAGACGTAAGAGTAGAGAGAAATAATATCGTTACTTTCGTAAGAAAAGATGATTTTAGTTTCACGTTTTAAATTTTATAAAATTATTCTACAGAAAACAAGAAGTTAATTATTATAAACCGTGTGTGCGTGTATAAAAATTAATAATTACATTTTTTGTTTAATTGTAATTAATTAAATAGAAATGATAAAAATTTTAAATAGGAACATAGTTTTTACACGAACATCCGTATCCGATCGACTAAATTATGAAATTCTCTACCTGTACGTCACGTCTTTATACTAATTTAGTGTCTTTTTTCGTCCGTATTAATTTCGGTTTTCTCATAAACAGAATACGAACATTCAGAGAATAGAAGATAGAAAATTCGAGACTAAAATAACACAAATGGATTTTAAATAGTTTCGGAAATTAGTTATCATTTATCAATTACCTTACCTAATACGTTTCCCAGAGCGGCATCGTTGGAAACTGCACATAGCATTGCATAAATTCCTCCATCGACTAATTTCTGTTTAAGCTTCCATACCATGCAAAAAGACACGACTCCGACGAAAATGATTAATTTTGTTACCATAATAGCACCGATCATCTTCCATCGAACTACATTTAAATCGCTGGTAGCAACATTTAGATACAATAAAGAAGGCAAGATCCAATAAATAACGAATTTATTCATGCCCTTTGCGTCTATTTCGGAGAATAACTTAAATCTTCCGCTAGCATAACTGAAAGTAATATAAAATTTTTAAAAGTAAATAATTTTTTTATAAATGATCCCCGACAGAAAATGCATATAGACTTTTGATATAGCAATGTATTTTACACTAATTTACGGTAAAAATAATTTAAAATTAGGTAAATTAATATACGTATAATGCATTTATGTAAAATAAATACACGGAAGAAATATATAAAACTCCAGCAAGGAGTTGCTTAACTTTCCCCGAAACGTTTAAAACTGCGTGTGTAGCGCCATTTTATAATTAAAAACTTTTTATATATTTTTAACTGTTATAAAACGGAAAAATGCTTAATTTTGAGGATAGGGATGAGTTTTATAAAAAATAAAAAAATTGTAAATGCTAATAACCAGTAAAATTGTCATTAAATCCGATCCTTCCGGTGATACACACGACTCCCATTATCTCCCCACCCTCTCAACCTTTAACCACCAAAATTTAATGGTATCAATCTCCCTAATAAACAAACCTCCCTGCAAAGTTTCAGATGCGGATCGCGAATGAACTTCGTAGGCTTTTAGCGGGCAGCATGCCTTTTATACGGAGTTGCAGGCTTTAGGTCCGTATAGTACCAACACACTGCATTACCGCCAGAACACTAGGTATTAAAATAATATGTGGTAATAATATGCCAACTAGTAATATATAGTATAGTTTATTCTCAGTTTTCTACTGGTCGTGTTTAGTTTGAATATTTTCGTCGCGAATATCAGCTCAATTAAGGATTTGTAATGGCACGAGGCTGAAAACGGGAAAATAAAATAAATATGTCATCAAAGCTTTGGCCGCAAATTATCATCTCACGAGATTACGGTTGCTGACGACCGATTTAAAATCGTAACCGGAATAATTGATGAGGATCGACAGGGACAAATTAACCATTCCCCGAGTTGATCCGTAACGCTTTTTCCGAAAACAAATTAGCGCGCGTGTCTCCTGTAGAAACTCTTTTGCATTTGACTAAAAACTAAAATTTCGTGGTAATTGTGCACGGGAAAAGTGATAGGCCTATTATTCTTGCGTGAAACGAATACGAAGAGCGAGAAGAACGAGTAGTTTTACACTTACCCTAGTGTTATCGTGACGATGCACTTGGACAATGCAGGAATATATTCGTCGAAAACATTTTCTTCTCCGATTGACGTAGAATTCCTTTTATTTGCCATTAGAAATCTGTATTTATGAAATAAAATTGGTCTTTATCTTATATAGTACTTGCCACCTATGTAACATTTTTTGTCTACGCTACAGCAGTAATTTCCAATATTAAAAATACTACATCGACTTCATTACCGCAAAACGAAAAATTCTATTGTCAATATTGTTAATTGCTTAGGTGTCATAGTCGATGATAAACTCACCTATGAATATCACATTGATAAAATAATAAGACGTTTGGAAAAAGTAGAGGAATACCTTCACGTTTCATCCTAACTAGCCTTACTTTGCGTTACGCACCATTTACTATACTTTACTAATTTTCAAAGGATCGTTGATGTTGGTCTAAGGATTTAAGGATGATGCCTAATGGCTGCTGTTTCTAATACTCTCGTAAACAAAGTCGTGGAAGAAATTTGTAAAAAGTATGTACTGTACAGTACTATGTTCTGTTAAAAAAACTTGCCAACTTACTCTACAGATTCTCCCGAAATTGCTCGTATGCCACTCGACCTCCCAAACATACACGATACAGAGTTACGTGTTACGATAGAATTTTACTATGAATGTTTCAACGGATTTTTCATGCAGATTTTAGATTAAGTATAATTAATTTTATTACTCGTAATAACTTGCTCCGATTTAGACTTAATATATCACAAAGGATTTTATTTTCTAGACTTGTAAATTCGATTAAGTTAAAAATATTTTGTATTTAAAATATTTTAAGCGTAAATAACATTGCGAAGAATCTTCACATGTTGTACAGTCTGTCATATTCATTTTTTTTAAACGTATACTTTTCATTTTAATTGTTATTTTTATAGATTTTAATTGGGAGGTTTTTCATTGTTAATGTGGGGATGGCTTATTTTACTCATTTTTCGTCGTCGTGTATCTTTTGTATAAAAAATAAAGAAAATAAAACTAAGAACCACCGCGAATTATTTACAGTAATGGATTGCGCAGTTGAGATATTATTTAATTAAAATGCCTCAATGTCCTTTCCTTACTAAATTATAAATTTTCGTCTATAAACAAGCATTCACTATTATCAGGACTTATTATACTGGCTTAACAGACAATACAGAGTTTCACAATTTTTATTTAATATACCTGGACACATACATAATTTTGCGTTTCGGACACATTTGTCCCTCCTCAGCAGGTATTTTTGTATTCTATTCTATTCTGTAAACAAAAAATTTTTTAAATTACATTTAAAATTACCGATAACTTATTTACAAAATAAAATTCTTACAATTTTTAGATTTTATTTTACATTTAACTCAACCGGATATTCAATTATAACCAGCAAAGACAGTATTACTAGGGACTTACACCTGTTTTAAACAAATTATTATTTTAACATTATATCATATTTTACATTTATTTAATATTTTATACATTTATTTACTATTTCACAACTTACATCTGTTCTTGTCGCATTTGGCTTCTTCTTTTATATGGAGATTTTAGCACTTCATAGGCTCTCTCTCCTTCGTTTCCATTTTTTCCGAATGTTCTTTTTATCTTCTTGACACACCCCTTTTTCTAAGATTCTTCGCCATGATTGGTGCATTTCTCTACCAGTATTGCTATTTATCCTATTATTTTGTCTAATTGTATTANAAAGAAGTTAATTTTCTATCTACTTTTTTTTCATTATTTTGTTAAGTGTTCATTTAAAATCTATTTGCTGCAGCTAGAAACGAAGTGTTGTGCGAATGCCTCGAAGGTAAACTCGAACCCCAAGCTAAAAGTATGTCAACAACAGATGACGGGATTTAAGTACTACACGTGTTGCATCCAGACATTGATTGATCGAAAAATTAGGCCACAGGATATCTGTTATAATACACTAGGGCCGGTTAGAGCAATATAGCAAACTGTATTGTCTACACCGTGTTCTTTATTCTTCTAAGTGTTTTATCATGATCACTAGACTATTGCAATAAGTCTTTTGTCCAAAACAACTTCATTTCTATTTTCTTTTTCTTTAGACAAGAGTAAATTTATCGACTTAACTCTCTTTTATTTTTATTTATTTTCTATTTTTTTTTTTACAGATATCGATCGAAGCTGTAAATGTTTACCGCTATACAACAGCTAAATCGAACGTCTTATGTATCATTAATACTAAAATAACAAGTGATTGTCATCTCATGTGTCTTAAAATAATATTAAAATTTAATTTTCTATGTGCCTTAATATTGGAAAAACTAGAATATCAGGTAATTAGAAACACTAATGCCTTATAATCATCATCATTAATGTGATGAATGGGAGTAGGAGATGATCATGATGATGATTATAAGCTTTGTCGTTAATGTCTTCCAGAGTATATTACTAGTAGATTGCCCCTTCTCTAACTGTCTGTCAGTAATTGAGTGGATAAAACCTTTTATTTGCTGCCCCACGTAAAATTTTCCTGGTTTCCTTCGTGTATGTAACCTCTAAGTAAGGGGCCAGTTCATCATAAAAAGTCCTCCCTTTTTCACTTATCTAACACAGAGGCTAGTTTAGCATAAAATTCTCTTTCTAATCTATCTATAAATAACACCTAAAGAGGGACCAATTTATTAAAATCCTTCCTTGGCAGATGGCCTACATGTTGCATTCCCTTATCCTATGAAAACAGATCCAACCCTTTCTATCTGTAATTCAAGGATATCTTTCGCACAATCGAGTATGGAGCTAAACCGAGGAATGTCACACAGTAAAAATTATTCAAAGTTATGAAATTTTCAAACAGATTTTAGAGTTTTAAATTCAGATGATTTGGAAACATTGTCCTTGGATCCAATGTCAATGCAGACATAACAATGGATGCTAGTATTTAATTATTATGAGGAAGATCTGTTAACGAGCACTCATCATCACTGTATAGGAGTGACATTAAATCGAAGTTTTATATACAAGTCGACCCCCCTATAACACCGTTGATTTTTTCGTTTTATATGAATTCCGTGTTGTACGAGTCACTTAGATTTTGCAAATACGTGTGCCGGGCTGTGAACGGCTCACATATTTGTAAAATCTAAGTGACTCGTACAACATGTAATTCAGATAAAACGGAAAAATCAATGATCTTATAGGGGGATCGACTGTATTTCATACTTATTGGTGTAATAGATTTATAATTAATTGTTTTTGATATTTGTATAGGTTTCACATATTTTTTATAAATTAATTTATCATCTTTTCTTTCTATTGTTATATCTAGATAATTAATACTATTTTGTTTCTCTGTTTCTATTATGTATGTGTCCAGGTATATTAAATATTAAATAAAAATTGTTTTCTGTGAAACTCTGTATTGTCTGTTAAGCCAGTATAATAAGTCCTGATAATAATGAATGCTTGTTTATAAACGAAAATTTATAATTGATATATTATTTATTTAAATTTTCATTTTCTTTTTTTTTCCGACACGAATATTATGGGCACTCGATCTACTTTAGTAATAAATTAACAGATTGATCAGATTCGTATTTGCCCGAAACCAAACCTACAGATTGCTGAAATAATTTTTAATAATTTTCATTCGTCGCGAGTTCGTTACAATTTTTTCTGGCCACTAGAAGCATCTCTACGTTAGTACTATTTCAAAAATTGTTTTGCATGGATTATTTTTAAAAATTTAAATTACCTTTTCACGGCTTATCAACGACGTTTTATTCCTTTTCTAAAAAAGTTAACGATTTATATTTATTTTCGTGATTATAAGCGTTTTCTATCGTCCAATCTTCCTTTGAATATTATTGTGATACGCATTAACATTCTTGTCCGAAAATGTGTCAGAAATATTATTGATATTAAATAACGTAAAAGATCCGAAGATGACAAGCAAAACTATTACCTTTTTAATAATCAAACGACACGAAAAGCAGTCGTATCGACCCAAAAAACGTTGACCATGAGACAAAATTTATTGTTTGTTAAAATAACTGATGGGGGGCCACCAGTGTCCAAGCGGTCCGTTCCCCGAACACTGGGAGTTCGGTCGTGGGTTCGCACCTGGCCAGAACGGGCTGTCCACGTGGAGTTTTTCGGGCTTTCTCCACATCTATAATGCCTAAATAGGGACCAGTTACCCTTAAAAAGAGCCTCCCGGAAGCATCCCTCCCAAGGCAGATCGCTCAAGTGTTGAGTCGAGGTAATTTAATTAACAAACAAGCAAAATAACTGATGTGTTTGAGATAAAAAAGAATAATAAGCGTAACTATTTGTCTTTAAATAGTATTTAATTAAAATGATATATACACAGTCTGACAATAAAGTTTGTAGACCGTTTTTATAACTCGAGGAGTGGTATCATCGATGTGTTATTTTAAGCTTCAATTATGACGAATATTCTGTCAAAATTCGAGCTACATAGCCCATCGCAGTAACTACATTTAAAATATTATTCGTAAAGACCATCGTATAGAAAAATGAAAACGAACAAAGAGCAGTGATAAAATTCCATGAAAAACTTGACGCAATAGCTACAAAAAACGTACGAAATGATGCAAAAAGTTTTATGGTGATAATTATTTGAAACGTGCAACAGTTTTAAAGTGGCATAAACGATTTTTGGAAGGTACCAGATGATGCCATGCAGGGAGACCAGCAAAAAGTAGAACACTCGAAATGATAGAAAAAGTGCATGATTTCGTACAAAATGATCGTGGCGTTATTGTTAGAATTGCGGAAGAGTTATTTGGATCGATGGTGAAACAATTCGATTAATTTTTAAGAGGATTTAGAAAAAAAAGNCAAAAAGCAGTGATAAAATTCCATGAAAAACTTGACGCAATAGCCACAAAAAACGTACGAAATGATGCAAAAAGTTTCATGGTGATAATTATTTGAAACGTGCAACAGTTTTAAAGTGGCATAAACGATTTTTGGAAGGTACAAGATGCAGGGAGACCAGCAAAAAGTAGAACACTCGAAATGATAGAAAAAGTGCATGATTTCGTACAAAATGATCGTGGCGTTATTGTTAGAATTGGGGAAGAGTTATTTGGATCGATGGTGAAACAATTCGATTAATTTTTAAGAGGATTTAGAAAAAAAAGGTTTGTGGAAGATTGGTGTTTGTTCCACGGTAATGCACCGAGACAGAATTTACGATCTGTTCGACAGTTATCAGTCAAAAACAAGTCTGTGCGAAATCATCCATCTTATTCGCCACATTTAGCAGATTTAGCACCGTGCGACTTTTGTTCTATTTCCAAAACTCAAAATTTTGGAAACAGGAATTATTTCCAAAGGAAAGTATTT